ATAATTGAAACGATTTATAACGTTTCTAGTAACGAGAATTTCGTCAGGACGACGGGATATTTAGCGGAGACGTCGGGGAGTCCTTTATTCGCGTTCAACGCTCGACGATCGCTCGCCGTTTCTCCCGATCGAACCGCGCGAACTCGATTCCGGCGGGGCCGAACTTTCCCTTCGGCTTATTATCGGAAGCTGCCGCTCCGAGGGATCTTCTCGCGCGAACGAACGCGCCCGCGAACATTCGCCGGATCCGCTCCGCCTCGCCGACTCCGAGAGACCCATTCAACTCGATACTCCTCCGCGGAAACTTCGGGAAGACTGCTCTCCTCGATAACGATTCGCGAAAAACTCGAACGAGAAATCTGCTCGCGTAACGATGTCGCCGGTGTCGCGGTTTCCTCTTCGCTCCGTGTTCCCTTTCTACCCCGTATCGCGTTCGAGATTTTTCTTGCAACCGTACTGTTCTGTACCCGTGTACAAAGGTCTCGAATCTCTCGTCGAGTTCGAATAAGCGAAATTAAATCGAAATTAAATCGAGTCGTTCCTTGGATCTGAATATTAATCGTTCTTGCGACGAGAGTCACGGGCAGACACAATTCTTCGTTTCCGGGGATTAGCCGATGGAAATTTGATCGATCGCGGCGCGCAGCTCCGGAAAAGAGATATATACAAGATCCTCGAGTCGGATCGAAAGAAGAGCCGCGTCTCCGGTGTCCCGGCCGAGCGGCTTTCCATGTCGTACATCTAATACGAATTTATGGGATCGAGAAGAAGATAGGAGAGAGTTCCACTCCTCGGGAATGAAATCCCGGCGAGCGCGCGCGCGCGGCCGGACGCTCGTTACGCTCGTCTTATCAGGAAATATCATTCCCAGAAGAGGACACGCGAAACTGCAGCGTCGCCCTCGAGTTTGCCGACCTCTCCTCGGATTCAGCGGTTCTCGACGCCGGCTCCCGGCTTCTTCTTGCCCTCGCGAGAACCGTCGCGGACGGGAGCGGAAGAAGCGGAAAAAAAGAAGAAGTTTCATTTGCAGCGGCGAGTGCACCGCCTGGGACCTGTTCGCGTCGCTCGCGGGAGGAGAAGGGGCGGGTCGTGCAACCCTGTTCGTTATCAACCGTCCTCTCACCCCCGTCGACCTCTAGCCGCCCGTCCACCGGCTGCACACACGCGTCCTGTGCTCGTCACTTTCTCTACTCCGCCTGTCTCTGATTCTCGTTCCGTCCTCTGTCTATCCATCGATCTGCACTTTCCACGGGAAAGTCGAAAGACGAGTGAAAAGGATCCAAGAAGAACGAGCCTAGCAAAACGGTGTCGAAAGAGAAACGAGGCCTGTCTGATTCTCGTTCCATCTATCTATCGATCTCCCACAGCGAGGAAAGCCGGAGTAAAGGGTAACGAAAAAGAGAATCCAAGAGGAATCCCATAGCGAAACCGAGGTTTCGAAGGAAAGAAGGAACGCCGGGAAGCGAGGAGGAAACGAACGAGGCTGCGGAGAAAATAAACGAGAAGCATCGGAGATCACCCGAAGAAACTCGGAGCCGAATCTCTCGGAGAAAGAGCAGGCCCGAGGAAAGCGAAAGACGGGGAGCGAGAGGGAGAGAGGAGAACCGGCGACGTGGAAGCAGCGTTGGAAGGAAAGAGAGCCGCGAGGCGGCGGGGCGGGGAGGTGGGAGAGCGAGAGAGGGCTCGAGCCTCGAATGCGAGGG